ATAGTACTTATTCTTAAAAAAAATACTAATTTTATTAATTTAGCAATTAATTAATTGGATGGTACAATATTTCATTTTGTTTTTAAAAATACTTTGCATAACATTTTGAGCGCTGTGTACACTTTAAAAATGCATAGGCCTAATTTGAAGAAAAAAATTAATGAACTCATTACTAATTTAATTAATTAATTTAATTTATTACTTTAACAATTACTTTACTTGCAGGCTCAATAATTCATACTAATGTTTACGTGCTTTAACTTTAAAACGCTATGCATATAAAATGGTAATTATTTTAAAAAGTAAATAAATTTATTAATGATTTAATTAATTAATGTAATTTATTAATTTAATTAATTAATTCGAATTAAAGTTGTTTATTTAACAAAAATCCTAATGAGCCATAAACAATAATCATGAAAGTGCATAAATCGTTCGCATTACCACTCCTTATCTCTGAACCCACACAGTCAACCTCATTAGCATAATACTGTAAATAAAATGTTTCAAAAAAGGCATTAACGCATTGTCTCACGAAGCACAGTGGTGCTATTAATTGGAGAAAATCTGCTTTTAAAAATAATGTTACATATCTGCATGAGTTTACCAGGAAAAAAATTTGTTTGGCGGCTTTGCATGCATGGGGAAAATCTATGTAGCGCGCAAGTTTAAACTTGCGTGTGCAATTTGTAGTCAAGGAAATTAATGCACGTGCAAGTTTGAACTTGCGTGCGCGCAGGTTTAAACTTAAAGTTTAAACTTGCGCGGAGGACTCAAATTGCGCTCGACAAAACAACGGCGAATAAATGGAATGTGGCTAATTTACTCCTTGAATTTATGTAAGCACTTTCACGGTAATATGCCCCATCTTGTTCACGGGGCAAAAAGAACACACGTTGCTAGATACAGGCACATTTAGGAATGAACGCACAAGACTTGGAAACGCAAAAGTTTTCCATTAATGATACGTGCACAGCAACGCGTGTAAATTTGCCCCATAAGCAAGGGGCAAAAAGTGAAAGTGCTTATTAGAACGGGGTGCCTTCTATTAATCTAATTCTAGAAGTAGGGTAGCCCCATAAATGTGGCCAATATTCTAGACTTCCTCCGTAAATAAAGGCCACGTACACTTCCACCATGTACAAAAACATGTCGAACTTTGTCAAATTTTGATTTTCGCATTTAATTTAGGCTTAGTTTGTAGGTTTTTTTTGCTATAGAAGCATACTCAACCTCTTGATAGGCTAATCAGAAAGTGCTGCCTTTTCAGATGTCTAATTTTCGTGAAATATCATGTTGAAATTTTGATATGCAAACGTGTGCAAACGAATCTGGGAATTTCACGAAAAACAGACATGTATAGATGAAAAAGGCAGCACTTTCTGATTAAACTAGTAGGATGAGTGAGCAAAAAAAAACCTACAAACTAAGCCTAAATCATGTGAAAATCAAAATTTGACAAAGTTCGACATGTTTTTGTACATGGTGGAAGTGTGGCCTTTATTTACGGAGGTAGTCCAGTAAATTGGCCACATTTATGGGGCTAGACCTAGCATAGCATGCCTAGCTTTGTTTACCTTCTCCGTCGGATGGAACCAAAACATGAACCCAAGCAGTTCCCCATAACTGCTGTTCGAAAATAACCAAGGTAAATGTTGAGAAATTAACATCATTTCCGGCCTGAGCCGTCTTATTTGTACTTTTTTGCAGCGTTTGCGAGTTTAGCAATCGCACGACGATAGCTAGCCTCTATTACATTTCCAAAAACTCTCCATTGCTGTTTAGTACAACATACTACGTACATGCATGTACTATATCATCCCGCCCAACTTACAGCAACTGCCCGGACTAGACTGCACACTGTAGTTGGGTTGTCCCAACTGTACTGTAGACTTGGCACAAGTCTGGGTTGCGCTCGGTCTGTGCCGCTGTCGAGCGCAATTTGAGTCCCCCGCACAAGTTTAAACTTGCGCGAGCAAGTTTATAAACTTGCGTGTGCATTAATTTCCTTGCTACAAATTGCGCACGCAAGTTTAAACTTGCGCACTAGATTCGCTCGTACCCCCCCGCCCTGCAAACAGGATTTTCCCCATGCATGCAAAGCCGCTAAAACTATTTATTTTTTTTCGGGTAAACTCATGCAGATTATGTAACATTATTTTTAAAGCACATTTTTCTCCGTTTAATAGCCCCACTGTGCTTCGTGAGACAATGCCTAAATGCCTTTTTTGAAACATTTTATTAACAGTATTATGCTAATGAGGTTGACTGTGTAAAGGTTCGGGATGAGGGACCGGTAATGCGAACATTTAATGTGCGCAAGTTTAAACTTGTGCGGGTGACTCAAATTGCGCTCGACACCACTGATCTTTATTCAATGTTGCCATTTCCACACAATAAAATGTTACAATGCCGTGTAAACATATTATACAGAGCAAAATGCAATGAATTATGAAATTGTGTATAATAATGTTCATGGATCAATACTAAAACAATTTTACAACATTTTTTAGGTATAAGGTGAAGCGTCACGCTTTTGTACCCTAACCTATCGACAGACAAGTGGACATGACGGAACAGAGATAGTGGTCGCAACCCGGCCGAGTACGTACCAGTAGTGTTCATTCGTTTTAAACGTACGCATGACGGGCATTTACGTCTCAGCCAAAGAAAAGCTTTGCTTGCCACGCTCGTGACCCACAGTTACCGCCCACCGTGACCGGCCGCTGCCTTACTTTTATTATTCAAATTGTTCGCTGCTTGTATTAATTATGATAACAATGCAAGAGGATTCCAACTCGATCTAATCTAAATAACAAAAGAGGATCTCTCAGCACAATGCCTGCTGAATAAGTACATGTACATTGTACAAGTGATGTGTTTTGAAAAAAAAATGTAGTCGGTAAAGCAAACAGAATACGCACGTAATTAGTTTAGTAGTGCAGGTAAATGAATCCAAACTGCAGGGAGTCCTCTCAGCATTTAAGCCCTGTACATACTGCCCTTGTCAACCATGTTCCTTTCTGTATGTTATTAATTTCTGTTATTGATAAGTGTACCCCCTGTTAATTTTTTTCTCGACGAAGAGCTGGCTTTTCTTTAGATTTATTTCAACACTCTGTTTATGGGTTTTCTCTGCACGGGCATCATATGATTTTTGCCTGCACCTTTGCCAAGATTGCGCTACAATAGAAACTATTCTGAAGGCTCACTAGGGTACAGCATGGAGGAAAGAATAGACTATTCCTTCCTCAATGGGTACAGCATACAGCCCGTATTCAGATTAACAATACACTTGGAACGTGAGGAAAGAATAAAGCTAAGGCAGGTACGAGCGCTACAATAGAAACTATGTAGGATTAAAAAGGCTTATATGTAGGGAACATTCAGTATTCAGATTAACAATACACTTGGAACGTAAGGAAGAATAAGTCAAAGGCAGGTACGAGCGCTACAATAGAAACTATGTAGGATTAAAAAGGCTTATATGTAGGGAACAGTCAGTATTCAGATTAACAATACACTTGGAACGTAAGGAAAGAATAAGTCAAAGGCAGGGTACGAGCGCTACAATAGAAACTATGTAGGATTAAAAAGGCTTATAAATGTAGGGAACAGTCAGTATTCAGATTAACAATACCCTCGGAACGCAAGGAAATAATAAGGCTTAGGCAGGGTACGAGCGCTACAATAGACACTATGTAGGATTAAAAAGGCTTACGTAGGGAACAGTCAGTATACAGATTAACAATACCCTCGGAACGCAAGGAAATAATAAGGCTAAGGCAGGGTACGAGTGCTACTTATAAGAACAATAGAAACGGTACGTATGATTATAAATGCTTACGCAGGGTACAGTCAGTATTCAGATTAACAAGACATATACATTGTATGCCTATGAAAGCTAAAGGCCACCGTCGAGTACCGTGTGAATATAGCAATGATGAGGAGAGGGCACTTCTTTTAAATGCATATCGCCAGGAGTTTATAAACAAAGAAGAGGTTTATGGAGTAAATCATAAGTTTATAGAGTAAATCACCTTTGTTTAACGATGCTGAAAAAAAAGTTTGGCTCATTACGTTTAAAACTAACCTTAACTGAATCTCCAATAAAAAGAAATATTTGTATGTACCGTATTTTTATCATATTCTTTTCATAACTAAAAACGAATAAAACTGCTGCAAACTGTTTAAAGAGTACATTGACCTGAATCTACTAATCAACAAACTTAGCTGACCCAACTTTCGGCAAGTCCTTCCAATTTTTATTTATAATTATTTATTTATAATACATGTGATAATTGATAACAAGTCTTTTATTTTGTTAATTTCAGTTTTTATTTATCGGAGATTATACGATAGAGCTTCAAAGAAACAGAGATTTGTTTGTGTTTACTTTTATTGATAGGAAAATGGTTAACAAACTTTGTCGAAATTTCAACATGAGTTTGAGTTGTGCACTACAGTGTCCTATACATGTATACACGTACATGTACAACCATGGTACAACATTGTCAGTGCATTTCTTCATCACATCATATGTCGCCTATAGGTACAACACTATACAACTTTACTTTATTGTTCCCGATCCTGCACTTAGAATGTTCTTTTGTTATGTTGATATCGCTCGATGACTTGGAATCCTCTTGCATTGTTATCATGATTAATGCAAGCCGCGAACAATTTGAATAATAAAAGTAAGGCAGTAGACGGTCATGGTGGGCGGTAACTGTTGGTGAAGCGTGGCAAGCAAAGCTTTTCATTGGCCGAGACGTAAATGCCCGTCCTGCGTACGTTCACTGAAAACGAATGAACACTATGCGGCCGCACCGATGGAGTTCGAATTTCACGGACAAAATACGACTATCTATAAACGACTTGTCATCAAGTCTATCTTTTTAGCCACGTGGTTCGAGTTGGAACAACTGCCGCAGTTGGGCAAGCTGCTGCGATTGGGCGCCGGGACGTTAGTTTCAAAGCAAAGAACGTTGCTGTGTTTGTATGGTATCTTTTTGCTAACTAGCTGCTACAATTAACTGTGTTGTGCCCATTCTTGAAAATCACGCATTCTCGAGAATGGGCATGCACATTCTTGAGAATGGGCGCGCATTCTTAAGAATGAGCGCTCATTCTTAAGAACGAGCACGCGTTCTTAAGAATGAGCGCTCATTCTTAAGATTGGGTGGGAATATCACGTGCACAATTTGTGAATTTTGCCCAATCTTAACAAACATTGCACGACATAATTATGTTAAATGAATTGTATAGCGGTTAAAAGGGAAACAATTCATATAAAGAGGAAACAAAATGTGCTATACTTCTGTACTCGTATAACTACGATAATTTGAATCAAATTAAACCTGTTATTATTGCTTTTTTCTGCCCACTTATGGGAAGTTTTGTAATAACGGAGGACTGGGAACTAGTCTGGGAAGTGCTTTGTTTAGGCTAGACAAGTTACAAGTCCCTGCATGTATCATATGCGTGCCACGAAAAAAAAACGATGTCCAGAAGCTGCCAAAATTGCTCTTTTGACTAGATAGAATCCAGCTCTGCGACGTTATGGTGGGATGTGAACAATAAAATGGTGGCAATTTAAATGGGAAATAGCATTAGCACTATGGGATGTCGCAGTATTCATTCTCATTCTTCACATTCTTCATTCTTACGTCCCCCCCCCCCCCCGCTTTTATTATCCCAAAAATCAGAATTCTTTGCACTATCATTATTATGTCTCTTATATTTTCCCGGTCCGCCCCCCCCCCATATTAATACGCCTTTACTTATCATATCCACTCTACTTTTCAGCGCCTTGCGTTGCAACAGTATAATTATTGAGAATCAGTGAACGAGGATTCAGCTAGACTTGCCAAGCGCAGCCGGTGCTCGGCATCGACAAGACCGTTATCTTGTCGCGCATTCTCAAGAATGTGCGCTCAATCTGGAAGAGTTATTTTTTGCCAAGATTGAGCAAGGATCCAGTTGCACATTCTCAAGAATGTGCATGCCCATTCTCGAGAATGCGTGATTTTCAAGAATGGGCACAACAACTACAAAACATCATTTGCCGGCCGGCTGAACTTTATGGAGGTTGCAGTCAGCAGCGCATGGGTGGCATGCAGCGCTGTCGGCTGTTGTATGGTGTGATAAATTGTTCGTAGGGTGCCCTAAATCATAGATGATGCCGAAAATTCTTATCGCTGGTGCGGGATTGACGGGGGCTCTTTGCGCCCACATCCTGAAGCGGGATTTGCAACACAAAATAGAAATTGTTGTATGGGAGAAGGCCAGAGGGGCAGGTAGGTAATTGCTCTTTGGGTTTCAGGTCAACTCGGCCCGTGACCAACTTAGCATGCTTAGTCCATGCTTAGTCTGAGTCAACTCAGTCCGTAACCGACTCGGTCCATGACCGACTCGGTCCGTGACCAACTCAGTCCGTAACCAACTCGGTACCCCTAGAACTATGGGTATTATTACTCGTAATAAAATAGGGCCTACCCATAGTCATGATAGTTCTAGGGGTATAGTCGGACTCCCTATTATCGCGGCATCCCTATTATCGCGGCATGGGAAATTTCTCTTTTTACAGTGTCAAAACTCGTTCAAGTGGCGATTTTTATCCAGTTCACCAGTCATCAAGGATTTTCTACCGAGTTGTATTAAAAGGACGATTAAAAAATGTTGTGTCTTTCGGGACTTTTAACGATTTTAATAAATATTAACTTTTTCCAAAACTTGCAAAATTTTCCCTCACCGTGTCTGCTAAAAGGTACCGTTTATATTTTAACATAAATCTTTAATGGCGCTCTGTCCATGAAAGTTCCATTGTCTGGTTCCCATTCTTCAGCTGCAAATGTAAAATGAAGTCGAACGACGATATTTGCAGCGCGAAATCGTAACAACTTTTACGGGATCAAAATAAGCACCGCGCGTTAGCGAAAATAAAACTGCACACCGTGTAAAGTGAATGGCGCCCTCAATCGCCGATCAGTAGACTTGCCTCAGGGATTTGTGTTCTCCTTTCGGGGGAAGGGCAGGGTCTTAAGAAATCATCCTGCAGACATTTTGTCTTTGATGAACTTGAACGTTACAGGGAAAATATCAGACTTTATTCAGGGGGTGTTTTGGTCAAACATAAACTATGAACAAAAAAGTTGGGATCATTATAAAAACCACTTCCCGCATACCGCGATAATAGGGAGTCCACCTCCGTTCGCACACGCCGCGCATGTCTATTTTCACAGGCATCGTACACGGAATAAACCACACCACCCGTCAGATTTTGTTATATTAATTTAAAAAGGAAGAGTTATTCTACACATAAGACAGGACAATTCTGGAAGGTAAGTGGGCAATCTCTATTCCGAACGAGAAACGTGATAAGTACCGCGATAATACGGCGTTCCATACTACAACTCGGTCCGTAATCAGCTCCAAAAAGTTGCAGCTTTATGGTTATTTCTTCCATTTTCCCTTCTCCTCTCTCACCCTCTCCTTTCCTGGTAATCCTTATCTTTTAGGACACCTCTATATTTTACGAGTTCTGTTCAAAACTGACTTTTACCAATGTGACTTTTGCAGGCTAAAGCAGTCTTTTTTCTTCATATAATTTTATAAACTTGTGTTAGTTGTAATTTTGAAAGCACTTTCAAAGAAAATGCGACTTTCCTACCTTTTTTTGCAGTCAGACGTGCATGTTGTAGTTCTCACAGAGTCACAACATGAGTGAAAGCCCTACATAATGAAAGCCCGATGCTGATTGGCTGCTAAAAAAAATAAATAAGATGATTATTTTTTTATCAGCCAATCAGCATCGAGCTTTCATTGCATCAAGCTTTCACATTTGCCATCTTGGTTTTTGAGTCTGTTTTCTGGCTGTCATCGTCGCCCTTTACCCCTGAATTTCCCTCATAAATCAAAGCCCTACCCTCTTTCCACAAAATTAAACCTGCTGATATTCAAGAAGGTGTCATTGCCAATGGTTCAGATGTGCCAAGAAGTATCAGAATGTCAATTTTGAGTGTCATTTAGTCAACTGTTTTTGTGAGTCTTTCCCTTCCTATATAGGAACGGGGTTCTAAAAGTAAGGATTACCCCTTTCCTTTTATATCGTCAGACCTCCTAGTCCTAGGCTAAAGCTACGCGCTCCTATTTCTGCGCACTTGCCTTTAAGTTATAATATTTTGCAAAGCGTGCATCCTAAAAAATGACATACTTTCACTGGGATCTTATCCTTTGATGCTCGAACTTTAACCAGCAGCGGCTTATGCTGATTAGGTCTTATTCTGATAGAAATATATTTTAAAGCATTTTCATTCCAACAAACAACTCGGTACCGAAATGTGATCTTTGCAAAACAGATTGTAAAATAATTAAATAACGTGATATAAGGCGCACGTCATTTTTCGCGCTCCTTAATTCTGATTACGCCCTCTGATGTTTAGTGAAAGTCGACCGAAGTTGTCTTTCACATTTCACAGGCATGCAACTCTTCCTCGGATCAGCTGATTTCCTCGTTTTTCACTTCAGACTTTTGCCATTTAAAATTAAAAAACACTGTACAAAGTCTTGTAAAATTTGGTATTTCCTTGTTTTTTTGTATAAATGCAGGCAGATGCTTCTGGGCCTGCAGAAGTCGAAAATATGACCGAAAGGTGACCTTTCTTGGTCTCCCAATATTGTCAGAACTATATTTAAGATGTCATAGATAAGAATTTGCAGTTTCTACAAGGGTGTAAAACTTACGGTACAACTAAAAAGACACATTTCTTATATTTTTTTGGAATTTTGTTGGTCATAAGTTTTAAAATCCCACATCTTAAAAACTGTCTCTGTTGACTGGGATGATCAGAATAACAATTTTATTGGGATCTACATTTAATAGGTAAATATGTATAAAATGTAAATGGGCCTATAGGCCTTTGTATAAAACTCGAAAATAGGATATATTCAAAATAATCTTGAAATTACGAAAAGTGTATTGGCATCGAAAAAAGAAAGGAAAAAGAAAGAAATTATGTTTGAAAAGCCCAGGAAATATAAAGCCCAACTAAAGCCAACAAGTCTATTAAAGTTATTAAAAAAAAATATTTATATTGAGTTACATGGCCCAGACAGCACATATTTTTCATGAAGCGTCCCCTGCCATAGGTGTAGCCAGCGGGGGGCTAGGGGGATAGGGGGATTTACCCCCCCCCCCCAATCTTTTGTAAAGACTGCCTTTTTCCATTCAAATGCCCTTTTTTCAACGGGCTTACCCCCCCCCCCAATAATTTGTAAAGAGTGCCCTTTTTTTACGAAGTGTCCTTTTTTTCTGAACAAGTGCCCTTTTCAAAAAGGAAGTGGTGCCCTTTTTTGTGGCTTCTGCCGTTGTGGGTGCCTTTTTCAGAATTTATCGCCCTGAAAAGCACCATATATTGGCCCTGTGTGTGCATAATTGGCGGTTTTGAACAGCCCCCCCCCCCCCCCCCCCACCTCCTGCTTTTTGATTTTACGGAGGCCAAGTGTCCGGAGAAAAAACCTGTCTACATTTCACAAGGGATGAGCAAGTGCCCTTTTCAAAAAAACATTTTACAAATTTATACAGATTCACCAAAAATAGCAATAAATGCAATATTAAGTTTACATGTACATGAAGTATGCCGTGGCTATATTTTTAAGTATGGTGCATGGAAAAAAATGTATTTGAAATGACCCTTCCAGTAAAAACATAACAAAAACACCCTTCTGTTAACCATGGTAACAATGTTGTTGTTATCCGGCATTTGTTACTCATTCTAATACACCAGCGATATCAATCAATTAATTATATAGTCGCGCCTGCACGCAGTCGACTGTACGTGGCAGCCGATCGCGCTGCCGCGACACATGATCGCATGCACCTCATTTCAATTAAACAAAAATAGTAATCAGCTTATGCACATTGCATGCATTTTTGGGGTACTTTTAACATAATGATTCTAAGGTCTTATTCCAATAGAAATATATTTTAAAGCATTTTCATTCCAACAAACAACTCGGTACCGAAATATGATCTTTGCAAAACAGATTGTAAAATAATAACGTGGTATAAGGCGCACATCGTTTTTCGTGCTCCTTAATTCTGATTACACCCTCTGATGTTTAGTGAAAGTCGACCGAAGTTGTCTTTCACATTTCGGGGTGGGACGGGTGACACTAGGCCATTCAATAATGTTACGTTTTGTATCTAGTCAGTACGGCAATAATTTACTCTCTCTTTGATTTCTTTCAAAGAACTTCTCGAAAAAGCTTTTGATTTCCGCATAACTGCATTGAGAAGAAAGGCGATGTGAGGATGGATCCTTGACGGTGATTTGACGTCAGTCCGTGTTGTGTGCAAAAAGATCTGAGCCGAGAAAGTTGGTTACGCGAATATTGGGCAGCACGAATTTGGGGCACTGTACGATAGGCTAGTATAGTCGGACTCCCTAGTATTAGTAACAAGCTGATTTACCCGATCATAGATCGGGTAGGGCGTAGTGTTGGGGATGAAAATGTGGGGAGTTATATAAATGTAAATGGGGGATATTTGGGGAGACATGCAGTTATAGAAAAGCAATTTCTGTGGTGTGATCGGAGGCAATTTCTGACCTCTAAAACCAATTTGAGCAAAAGATCATCTTTGAAAGTTTTGAGTTTGGAGTAATTGAATCAGCTACATGTATTCTGAGCAATAGAATCATTATTGTAGGCTACAATATTTTTATTCGGGGAAGAAAAAGTGGGGGGGGGGGGAACCAAACAATGTCCCCCGCCTCAAAATGTGTGTGTGTGTGGGGGGGGGGGGGGTGGATTCCCCCTGTCCCCCGTCGATTTACGCACATGATAATTATGTACCATATGGCAACTGTCTGTAAATGTTGCCGTTGGTCTGTTTAATTGGCTTTTTGTGAGGCAGTCGCATTTAGAAAACGTAGTGAAAAGTTTACTGTAGTACACATGTCCAGGCGAAGACTGGTTGTACAGTTGTGACAATAAATCATAATTCAATAAAACGTGAAGGTGTCATTTGAAATGAAAATGTTGAGTGTTACCATAAAATTACAAACGGTCTGAATCATGGAGGAAGGTCATAATTAAGTTTCAGTATTGGACTCTTCAACAAACGTAAACTTGAACTTCTTACAATTTGCGAGACCGTCTGCGAGGAAAAAGTCGATTCAACTTTTATTCAAGTTGGTTCAACCATCTATATAAGAGCAAGTTTTACTCGGCCTCCGAGAAATGTTTAATTGCTCCTGAAAGGATCCGAGACCGCGGCTTCACGTCCGTGGAAAAA